TAGGGAAAAAACTACTCGAGGTTATAAAATACTACATCATATCTAATAGTGGCATCATGCACAACATTTTTCCGTTCACTCTTTGCCAGCTGAGACTTTCAGGAATTTAGTATCCTTCTCTTTGCTTCTTCTGTTTGAGAAGCTTATGTTTCAGGATAATCTACTTGATGTTTCTGCCTTTTTCCTTTGCTTCTTTTCACACACCACATTTCCTGTTTATTGGCAGCCACTGCCTCAGAGAAGACCAGAACAGGGCACTACTGCCCGGACTTGGACAAGGCATAAAGCAGAGATTTCCAAGCTGTGGAATACATACTGCTGATGGTACACGAACCATGCCAAAAGAGCTTGTGCTATGCAGACACAGTGGTGACAACTTCTGACTCTTCCCATGTGTGTGCTTATCAGACCTGTGCCACACAAGCGGTTAATGCAGCTCTCCTAAATAGACCACTAATAACATGTTTCTCACACTAGTCTGCCATGCTCTTCATGACAAGAACCTCAGTGGTTAACAGAATTGTATTTTTTTTGGTCCAGGATATAAGGACAGGGCTGGAGTGTGAGGAAGGATGTGCTTCAAGTGGGTTAGGGGACAGGACTGAAGGGGTTTGGGCGGGTGGCATGGCAGGAAGGGCTGAGGACTGGAGAGATGGGATGCCTGGCATTGTCTGCTGAGTGACTGGGAATGAACTGCTGAGTGGGTGAGGGAATCAAGGACTGTGAGCCTCCTAGTCTAGAAATGTGAGTGTGTGTAAAAAGGAAGACGACGACAATTGCAAAGGTATGTCACTGTCCACACATATGAGCAGCTGGCACAGTGCTAGAAGCTGTGGCTGTTCTTACCATTAATGGCACCCTGATGAAGTATAAGAGTCTGACCTCAGGAGTAGCTGAGTGGTCTGGCTTGGCCACTCAGATACTACATACATAGCCAGAGAGCAGCTTCTCAAAAATGGGAATGAAATCTAGTCAAATAATTACAGCTGGCAGGAAGCAAATCTTGTGCTGTTTTGCACCTGCAGATGCTTGAAAAGGCTCTGTGTGGAAAAGTCTTAGGTATATTCAGCCCCTGATTTAAGGTGTGTGATACTAACTAAGCACCGATTTGATGTGGATTACTCTCTACAGCCTTACTCTTTCCAGCTATGTTTGTTTATATTATATGTATTGTATTACAGTTATATAATCCTTTTTGCAGCAAGAAAAAATGTTGTTTACAGTCTGTGATGGCAAAAGAAATCCAATAGAGGGGTTGTGTGTATCTTTTTCCCTTGGCTTTGGAGCTTAGAGGAGACAGCGCTGGTGTGGCAGTAAGCCAGTGCTGGGGTGTAGCACTATAGGATAGTGTAAAGAGCTTCAGACGTGAATTAGTAGTGTTCCTTGGTGTGCCTGGCAGACTGAATGAATCCAGACTGTCTTCAGCAGTGTTTGTCAGTCTGTTTATAGATAGGCAGGAGTGGTACTTCTCCATTTCTGGATTTATTTGGTCTCTTTTTTGCTTTCTAAACCAGCATTACATAAGACATGATTAAGAGACTTACAGTGCAGCAGCTTGGGTGTGATTTATGTTGTGCTTTTTTTTGAAATTGTTTTTCTTTTCTAAGTATTCTGATATGGCTACTTTGTGGGTTTTTCTTCTTCTCAATTCTGTAGTGTTGTTACAGGGGAAATGTAAAAAGCATTATATCCCTCCATAATGAAATGCACAGGAAATAGAAAGCAGAATGTTTTAGAGCTTTTAAATAGGTGGTAAATTACTTAATGGCTCCTCTTTGTTCCATTTTCTTGTCCTTTGCGAGGGCAAAGCTTCTGTTGACTTCAGTGAGATGGCCAGATCTAGGATTGAAGAATCACCAAATGTTCCTGCAGTCAACCAGTGCAACTTATACCCTCTGGTTATACTGAACTTGCATGTACACAACCTAAGACTGAATTTGTCCTCTATGGTATGGAGCTGTACAGCTTTAAATATTGTGTTGTTTCTAATCAGATCCTGAGAGAAAGAGAGGACCTGCTTTCAGAGGAAATTTGCTAACAGACATGTGGCCTCAAAACCTCTTCCTTAGATGAACCACAAATGCAAAATGAAAGTGGTGGTGGTGAGGTGTAAGTACAAGGTCCCCTGAACCCAGTTCAGCATTTCCCCAATCCTTACACAACTTGTTTTATGTCATATAGTATGCTCTAGGGAAGAAGAGTCATAAAGACTGCACAAAGTTACACCAGTCATTCATTTTGTTCTTTGGTAAGTGTATATGTGGTAAAATAGGTTCCTTATTTATATTGGAGTGGCCCTTTCAGCCTGGATATAGCTGTTGAATTGAAAAGTCCTCCCCTAAAATTTAAAGCTGATGCAATGTATGGGTTAGTGACCTCAGCTGTACAAGTAGTGATCAGACCCCACAAAAGGAGAAAAGGCTCATGAGGGGTAGGAATGGATCAGTATTCCCTGTATGTCACCTTAGCGCTTATGTGCAAATCGGCAAACTTTTTGTGGTTACTGAATGAGATGCACAGAACTTTTAAATTTCCATCTTAGGTAAGCTGCTAGTGATAGTTTACTCATTATACAAAGGTGGGAGGTATTCTCAGTGCTTAGAAGGACACTATGGAAAATGGTAGGATGAATGAAGAATGAAGCAGTGGGAGGAGAATCAGTAGTATAAATAGCAAGTCCCTGTACCCTATGACTCATAGGAAAAATGCATGGTATAAAGTTTTAGATGATTTTTTGGAAACTGAGAAGAAAAGCAGCTTGTGAGTGCATTTACTAATTACAGGATGATCGTGCAGCCACGAGAAAGGGAAGTGTGTTTACTAATACGTATTAGGGAAAGTACAGTTAATGCTGTTGTATATCTAGAAAGCTACATACAAAGCTGGTCACCAGCATTCAGGAAAGGTGAACTTAATGTGGACCAGGTGCAGAGAAAGTGGCCTTCTCCTGATCACCTCATCTTTAGACTAAAAGAGCCTTAGCTTAGTAGCCTGGCAAAAGTAAGCTTGAAAGCCTGTGTTCTATTGATGTTTCACGGAAAGGCAAGCATTGATCCAGTGAATGGGTGTAAATTGGTCAGGAACACCTGCAGGCTGGAAATCAGAATGTTTGTAGTCATCAAAATAATATGATGCCAGTAGGAGCAGCATGGAAAAAAAAAAAAGAGTGGTTTTAGGCTGGACGTTGATCAGTTTTTGAAAGGGTTTAAGTGCTGTGGTTATTTCTGATGGTGGGAGCTAACTGATGACCCTTTCAGGCCTACATTTCCCTGTTACCCTGAGCTGGTGGGTGCTGCTCCTAGTTCCAAGTGCAGGTTAGAACTGCTGAAGGGCTGCCCTCAGCTGTAGGACACAGAGGGACTGACCCCTCGGCCAGGTAGGAGGTGCAGCTGAAGAGGAACCTTAGTGTCCCTATTGCAGGTGTGTGGGGCAGAGCCATGGGTGGCCGGCCACCCTAGTGTTCAGGCAACGCTTCTTGAGAAACAGTTGTTCTAATGCCAAATCTTGAGCTGCTCCTGTTTCTCCTTATTTGCTTGGGAATTACTGGATATAGAAATACCAAACTATAAAATCAAGGTTATAGAAATTGGAATTTATAATATGGAAAGTAATCCCATGAGGTTTAATTTTGTGAACTGCTTTTTTGTGTGTCACTTGTTTTGGGCTTCTGTCCCACATTTGGTCCTTGGCAGGTGAAAAATGTGCACATTAGTATCTTGTACCCCTTTAATTAATTTTGCGCGACTCTTTTTTCCAGGTAATTAGGCCAAGAGAAGGTTCAAGACTTTGCTTTATTATTTGCCTAATACTTTTACTGATATTTTTGTGATCTTTGAAAATCCATGGTCATAAAACACATTTGTTAAGAGAGTCTGTTATTAATGATGAAAGTTATTCTGAAGTACAAACTTTCAATCCCTGTTGATTCATTCACCGTTGCAGAGAGTCTTTTTATGTTTTCTCACGGACAACAGTGATTTCTTGCGATATTTGTTACTAGTGCACTTTCAGTTTATATTGAGCAATTTCAAAGTACTTTTTTCCTCATAGACCCTAGGAAAATGCACTAACATATATTTTAATACCATTTTGATCACTTTCTCTATTGTAAAGCATGAAATCTTGAATGTCGATTTATCCAAATAGAAATATAAACTTAAATGATGAAATCCATCACTTGATTTTTAAAAAAATGTTGAAGCTACATGTCCAAATATGGATAAAAAGCATTCCCTTCTTAACATTCGTTATAGCTAAAATATTGCTGTAAAATAATGAAAGAGGAAATAACTACCCTCTCAGCTGAGCAAGCAAACAGATTTTCAGTATGTTAGATTAGGAAGGTCACATGTGTGTGTTAACAACAACTACTGAATATGAGTGCCCTTCAGAGGCGTTTGCTTTTCTGAATCTACCTTGCTTGTACTCTTGCTTTCCCTCCTTCCAAGCTTGCAAGGAATTGGAATATTTAAGTAGATTACTTTGTCTTAAATATCAGAGAAACTTTCCTCCTGCTTACTGTACCTCTGCTTGCCACTTTTTATTGTTTCTTGACACAAGAACAGGCCAACTGACTTAGTCTGGCATTTCTGTTACTGAAACGCAACACACTGTTCAAGTACTTAATTCATGCAAATGGCGCTTAAAAATATCCCCCAAAATCTTCTAAAAGAAGTTCTTTGTTTCTCTATTTTTACTTGCATGATTAAAATGATTATTGCTTTCATTCCAGGAAAAAGGGTAAAAATGACCGTGGGAATAGACTGCACCTGCTGAGATGTGCACAAAGCTATTCTGCAAGTGTGGAGCTATCTGAATTTGGTTTAAATGTAAATCTAGCTTCTAGCGGTCCTGTCCTTCCTCCTTTTGCTCAGGACTTTCTCACTCCTTCCTTTCAGCTGAGGCTGGGGCTCTGATGCACAGTGAGCTGGTTTGGGAATCCAGCTAAAAATTAATCCTACCAAAAAAATAGGTTAGTTTACATCCAGGTTCCTTTAAAAACTACTTGTCCAGCATCCAGTGAAAGAACCTTGCTTTTTTATATATATATTTTTTTCTGGCACTAACATTGGCAATGTTCTTCAGTGAAATAGCTATTATGAAAAGTGTACTTGTCACCTGGTCAATATAGCAACAGAGAAAAATTCCCAAGAAATTGTACAGGTTCTTAATGTGCTTTCTGGGCCAGCCTGAATGGAATTTGAAGCATGCGAGCTTGACTCCATGGCTCCTGTGAAGTGTGATTACTGTTATCTGAGAGCTCTTTGTAAATTCATGAATACCTTGTAATCTAGATTAAAATGAAATCAGCGTATGTAGGACATCTTTTTCCGAGAAGCTGACACACTGGGAGGGGTTTGTATACACAGTGAAAAGTCAAATCTGCTCTCCACGGATACGCTCCCTAATAGTCAAGGTGCTTTAACATAACACACTGGGAATTTCTGCAGTGGTCTGGGAGGCTGAAAATTCTGGAAAGAGTTTATTGCACTAAACACGTACTAAAGCCACTCTCTAAAAGCCCAGAAAAAACACGTTTACCCAACTCCCTCCTGACTGATCACTTTTCCTCAGACCTAGCTTCTTGACTGATGCCCCTTTCTTTTCTCACCCCCCTTCCTGCTGTTTTCTCCTATTAATGAGCTATTCCACCTGCTTCTCTCCCCAGTACACTTCAGCACTTGACCATCTGTCACTGTTAGTGTGTAGTATGCATCCTTACTTGTAAGAGAGTATCGACCTTGAACTAGAATGCGTGGTCTGTGATAAATACCGTACAAACAGGCAAACAGTCCTAACTCATTTTGACAAATAACTTGGTTTATGTTGCATGTGAAGCAGCATGACTGTGGAGCCTGTGTTCCTAGTAAAATGTTTGGTGAAAAATGGCAGGACAAGAAACATGACTAGACAGTATTATCAGGAGTGAAATAATACTTCTGCTTATTTTGCCATGAAAATTGCCTCAGAGTTAGTACTGGATGAAAATGATAGGGCATGAATGCATATATCCTTGAGCTATCGTTGGAAGCTTCCTGAAGACTTGGACTACCTAAGTCTGAATGCTCAGTTCATAAGTACTGTTCTGAGGCATATATCCCGCTGTAAGTCTGCAGAGGTATGCAGTATAACGCATTGGTCTGTGCGCATTCACTGGGTGTTGAGATTGAATCCAGCCCTAATAGCACATTTAATTTAGGACTTGACCTTAGTTAGTAGCTACAGCTTTATATGAAGATTTTACAGACCACTTTCTGTACAAACAAAAATTTGCAAAATGGTTCTGTGAGTACAGTGAGACAAAACATATTTTCTGAGAAAGATTATTTTTGGTATCCTTAAGAAAAGATTTAGGTGAATCAACAAAAAGGCTTATTGACTGCCTTTATCTGTGTAATTATAAGCTCAAATTCTAAACCAGCTGTGTAGTCATGGCAAATGATGAAAATTGTGCTATTCATTGGCAAGCTATTTTTTATAACAAACATACTTATTACTTTTTTTTTTTTAAGGTTTTTTCCCTCGGGGGGTGGTGGGGAAGCTGAAGAGACACTTAATTTGCAAGAATTTGTGTTTTTCAAAATAGGTGTGATAGTACAGGATAACTAAACAAGAACCTGTGTGGTTTTTTTGAAAAGGTATTGTACAGAATAACAACATGACAGGTGTTAATAGTTTTCTTACAAGTTAATTTTATCTGAGTGATTTGCTATGTTTTATAAAACTCAACCCCAACTTGAATTCAGCCTGCTGAAACTACAAAGCAAAATTTTCTTTTACCTATGTTACAGGTGTATACTGTTAGGTTTAGCCTCCAAATATAGGTGAATTTCACATGAAAACTTTTATTCAGAGTCCATACACTATAATGGAAAAGATGCGTAGAACTAGAAAGTGCTAATTAGATAAATACAGTGGGATGAAGAACACCAGGAGATAAGGGAGGTCTCTTTCATTGGGATTTGAGGAAAATTAGAGATGGACAACCACTGAAGAGGCCTGTTCTTTCTTGAATGAGAGTTCATGGTCCAATAATCATGGCATGTCTTTGTGACGTGGCAAAGTGTGATAATCCTGATTGATTCATGATGTTTTTTCTTTTGGGGGGGGATTTGTTTG